TACACGCGTAGAATATACTAGTAAAGTTAGAGAATATTGTTTAGTCCCACATTAAAAGATTTCATGGTTGCACTATTTTTCTATAAATATAACCCGACTTCTCCTCAGGGATAGGTCATATTTCATCATAAGAAAGTACACGCGTAGAATATACTAGTAAAGTTAGAGAATATTGTTTAGTCCCACATTAAAAGATTTCATGGTTGCACTATTTTTCTATAAATATAACCCGACTTCTCCTCAGGGATAGGTCATATTTCATCATAAGAAAGAGCATGCAACTTTAACTTGTGACTCTAAATGAGAAATCACAAACATATACATAAAGCGAAAGCAATTATCTATAATTGAAGGTTGTCACTCAAAAAAGAAATTCAAGTTTTTAAAACTTAGTATAAAAGACGTATACCTAGATAGTCTTCAATATCACTCTTCAAAATTTGTCCATCAGGACCAGTACCTTTTACGCTTGAAAGAGGCACCTGTGCATTAGATTGAGAGTGGGAGATGATATTAGAAAATTGCCAGACTTCTCTTTAGACAACTTATGATTCACTGAATGGTCAGAACCAATCACCTAATTTTTTCCCCATCTAGAAATGAGTTATTGAAAGAAAGAAAGTCTAATGTAAACATTAACAAGTATTGGAATAACTGAAAATCATACATTGTTATCTTCGGCTAATTTTCTTGCAGCAGGACTAGAGAAGATACGGCCCTCTGTATGTGCGTCAGTCCTTGAGACCTTTGGCTCAGAAGTTTTAACAGGCTCTGACTCCTGCCTCTTAGGTGAAGTAGAGACAGTTGATGGCTTAGATGCATCAGGTGAAGAAGATGCTGAAGCTTTGTATTCTTTAAATTTTCCAATATCTTCTTCTTCTTCTACAGTTATAGCAATCGGCTAGTTGTATATATGACAAGAAATATTGATTAGTTTATAAACCAGTGTGATCTCGACAAAAAGAAAAAGAAAAGGGAAAAAAATATTTTGGCTGAGCGAATTATCAAATAAGGTAGTACTAATTCAGTTAATACTCTGAAGAAAGCTATGATTTGAGTGCATAAACAATTAAGAATAGTTCAGCACTTGAAACGTTGATGGAACTTTTCTTCCGTTAATCAAAATCAACTTAAGCTTCATGCAATTGTTAGATGTGATATATCACTAACCACAACCACCAACAACCAGAACAGGGAACTTACTATTCAATTCTCATAGTAGGGGTAGAAATAAATACACGCTTGAAACTGTAAATGTTCTAAAACGAAGCATGGAGAATTATGGAGCTGGAGTAGTTTTAGCTTTAAAGAAAAGAAATTTGGAAGAAAGCATATTTGCATATGATAGAGCAGACACCTCTCCGACTTTAATATTTTGGGCCCCATCTCCTTGAATTATCTTAGCAATGTAACCATCCTCCATGCATTCCATCTCGACTGTTGCTTTATCCTAATCAAGATGTGATATAATTTCTTCATAAATACAAAGTAAGTAATGGTATGAGATGGACTAGGAATTAAAATAAAGGATAGGTTTATAGATGAATCCTACAGTTTCAATTTCACACAGTACTTCTCCAGGAGAAACTTTATCCCCTTCCTTCTTCAGCCACCTTGCGATGTTTCCCTGTAGCCAATAAAAATAAGATGTCAAGAACCATCAGTTACAACGAACACGTCAAAATATGTGGCCTAAGCTAGAAAATGAATGGTTCACACCTCAGTCATGGTTGGAGAAAGGGACGGCATTCCAATTTCTTGGTGTGGAGGTAGATCTGAAAAAACAACCTCTGCAGGGGAGGTAGGCTCAGTTGATGGCTTCGATTCAGCAGGCGCAGAAGATGCTGAAGTTTTATAATCTTTAAACTTTCCAATATCATCTTCTTCTTCCACAGTTATAGCAATCGGCTAGTTAATGAAAATAAAATAATGATTACTTTAGAAACACATGTTGTCACCAAAAAAGTGTTGGCTAAGTAAAACAAATTTGCAGATTTGTTTTAACACTAAATCAGTTACCAGACTCCAATTATGATTTGTATCTCAAATGATTGAACATGATAGTTCTGAACTAACTCGTTTATGGAAACCTTCATGGAGCTGTTTTATTTTAGTTATGAAGTCAGATGCCTAAAGTTAAGCTTCAGCGTGAACTTCTACGTTTAAAAGTTCATCATTCTCATTTCTACTCATCAAACTTATGAAGATCATCAGATGATCTGATGTTGCATTTTGTATTTTGTAGGATATGTTCTCATTTCTACTCTTCAAAATAACATCGATCATCAAGGAGATGTGAAGTTGCATTTGGTGTTTTGCAGGATTTTATGATCTCACCCTTTTTAGCCATATGTTTGTACACGCGACTCTGATAACAAATAAGAGAATAAAATAAATTTACTTATCTGTTATCCTGAAGTCGTGTTAGAGTACAGTAATCAAAATATGAACAAACTTTACTAGTGCTTTTCAACTACACTCTAAAGACATGATAAACAACCAATGACCAAAGAAGGGACAACTCTCCCTCTCATAGCATGACAAAGAAACAAATGCAGAATTGAAAACATAAATATTCTGAAAGTAGCAAAATGAAGTTAAACTTTCTTTTAAGAAATGATACCAGAAAGCATATTTGAGTATGATAGAGCAGATACCTCTCCAACTTTAATATTTTGAGCCCCATCTCCTTGAATTATCTTAGCAATATAGCCTTCTTCCATGCATTCCATCTCAACGGTTGCTTTATCCTAATCAATTGGGATACAGTCTCTTTATAAATAAAAAGGAAGGCAACAGTATGAGATGGAGTTGTAATTAAGATAGAGGAGGTGTTTATAGACGAATCATACAGTTTCAATTTCACATAGTACTTCCCCAGGAGAAACTTTCTCCCCTTCCTTCTTCAGCCATCTTGCTATGTTTCCCTATAACCAATACAAAAAAGATGTCAAGAACCATCAGTTACATGAAGACTTCTGTAGATGCAGTCTCAGCTAGAGAACTGTCCACACCTCTGTCATGGTTGGAGAAAGAGACGGCATCCCGATTTCTTGGTGTGGAGGTAGATCTGAAACCATATATTGCAGACTAGTTTCAAGTAAAAATTTGTTTCGTTTTTGCCAGCATTAATAAGAATAGCATAACATATCCCACAGAAATGAAATAATTGAGCCCAACAACTAATCTTCCTCAAAGGAAGAAATCCATTGTATCTGCTAAGGGAGCACGGTTCTCATTGACAGCTCCATGGTTTTAAATCTTTCATAGGGTTTCTTTAAAAAGGTTGAAATCAAAGAACAAACTGGGATGTTTCCAACAATGATATGTTCCATAACCAATTTTGTATTATACAACTTGACCATCCATCCCATGTTTCTCTTGGCCTTGCATGTGAACAACTGTAAATATATATAACATGCCTATTTTACTAACAAATATACAGTAGAGAAGGGACTTATAATACAATTGTATATTATGTATCTTAACTATTCATCAGATGATTTACATGTGTTCACTTTGACCAAGCATGTGGATAACCGTGAACACGTAGGCACTAATAAATATATTGTGAAGAAAAGATGACTTCAGACATCACAAGTAACAACAAGAGGTGACTCATCAACAGTAACATACCTGAATTACTTGAATAGCATCTCCTCTGGGTTGCCTGTATGCTGTTGAATAAAGAAAAACAATGAGCGAACCCGGTAGGTCCTAACTAATGGCAAAAAGAAGAAGTGTATGACAGGTCATTATGAACCATGAATGACAGCTGCTGGTTGCCATGGTAGTCATCGGAATGCTAATTTTAGACGACAATCTAGAGAATGCATTTCGAGATGTTCCTGGAGAAGACATCTGAATGAAACATTAACACCACTTACAGTCAGCTAAAACCACAAAACTTAAGAAACTCTAGGAATATAGAAATATCTAACAAAATCATCACCTTGAAGATGTCCAAAGATTGCGATCTGTGTTGGTTTTTTGCTGATTCATTTTTTATTGGAAGGCCTGCAACAGAATGGCTGGAATCTCCAGCTGTTTTGCCACGTAATCCACAAACTAAAATATGGGAAACAACCAATAAGAATAAAAAATGTTGCACATAATCATATTTAAAAGTATGAAATCAGAGCAATATTCATATACTCTCATTAGGAATCTTAGAAAAACACCGTACGTACACATGAATCTGTGCATCTGTGTGGATTTTTGTCTGTGTTTACGGTAGAAGCTAAAAAGTCACAGGAACCATTTCCTATTACTTTGTTATGAACCTAAAGGTCTGGCATACATTTTAGGGAAACATTGTACTGTTTTGGCTGTGATTACAAATGGTATTCTATGTTCATGTATGAATTTACACCATTTGGAGAATGGAGTTCACACTATGTAGCGTATAGTTTTATGGCCTACGAATTGAAAAACATGTGTATCGATGCAACGGGTGAGTTGTTTGCGTCATAATCTACTTCTTAAAATATGATGAGAGCCCCACCCCTCAAGCCCATTTATCCCTGCCACAATCTCCCTTAAGCACAAAAAGTATCTTCTATCCTATACTCGAATCTAGTGTTTAAGAAAAAGCAAAATCAGGTTCTTATAGGCACCATTTTAAAATGTAAAACGGAAACCATTATCTAAGATCCTCCGCCTAGCCCCAACGTGTCGGTTGAACCAGGCGAATTCACTAGCCAATTGTGAAAATATTCACATCTCAATCTTTTGACCATTCATGTCAAGGGAAAATCTGATGCCCAAGATAAAAGTGACTTGCAAAGAGTGCTCGTTCCCACAAAATGACCCCACGTCTTAGGGTCTGTTTGGTTGTAAGTTTTTACTATGTAAAAGAATGGAAAGTGTAAAAAAGTGGCTCTCAATGTCAGCTTTCCTCCTTTTTAATTGTTTGTTTGTAGTTGTGAAAATAGTGTAAAGTGATTTACTATGCTGATGTGGTATGGATTCACAAATCCCTTCAAAATGGTCTGATTTTGAAGGAAAGCTGACATATGTGTCAGAAGTGAGGGGGCTAGGCCAATGGAATCATTTGAGTAGGGACCACACAATAACCACTTTTTACACTTTCCAAACAAGCAATTAAAGTTACATTTTGCAAACCAAACAAGCAATTTATGATTCCAATGGAATCAAAAACAAACAAAGAAAAGTTGCTCACTGAAATTGATGAGGTGAACAACAATTTTTCAAGTTGTGTCATAAATACACAACTTTACCAACAACAACCAAACAGCCCCTTAGTACCCTAATGCTATGTGAGCCTTGGTGTGCGTGTGACCATGACCACAAAACTTTTTCAACAAGGAAAGCAACAAATCGACTCCAGGAAACAATGAGCCTAAATTATTGCATACACCGGCTGAGTGCGAGTGTGTGTAATGTCAAAGAGTAGACAGAAATTTTGAAATACCGTCTGCTCTTTTATTAGTTGTTAAGGCACCAGCATCCTTGGAAAAATAACGGATAAGACCAGCAGGCTCGTGCTGCAGGACATTGTGGCCGTTCCTGAGCTGCAAATATTCAAGCAAGAATATTATAAAAGCATCAAATTTTTGTAAGATCAAAATCCATATCAAGGAAGAAACATCAGATGTTTAGCATCTGTTCCATCCTAAACATTCCAAAAAATATATAATTAAGCAACAATAGCAGACAATAGCAATAATTTATATCAAAAGAGAAGAAGAA